GTGTAGAAGGCAGCTGTGTATGAGTGACGCGAGGCCCTAATGCAAGAGGGCAAAATTAAAATTCATGAATCTCTTCACAACCATTTGTGTAACAAGATTAAGACGGGACAGCGGAAAAGAGCGGCATTATCAGGCGGTTTACAGTCCTCCAGCTGGTTACGCTCTATTCCAACACAGTAGGGCTAAGAGGATAACACGCAGCCCCAAGGAAACGCTGCTCCTCCGTTTGGGAGTGAGCTCGGCCTGGGCACGTTGGGGGTTTGCCCAGAGATGGAGAGGAAGAAAGCGGATTGCTGCTCAAGATGGAAAACTTTTAAGCCGTGGCTATTAGCACGCAGCACACAAAGCCACTGGGGTGGAGGTTCCAGGCAGCCCTGTGGTGTTCCTGGGGTCCTCGGCCAGCAGCCGGCCAGGCGGGCACAGCGGACCCAAGAGAGGAGCGAGGGGGCGCTCAGCAAGGAACTGGCCCCTCTGCATTCCCTCGGGCTTTGCTGTCTGGTCAAAAGGAAATCCTTTCCCAACACCCTTCATGCAAGGGGTCAGCATCAGGGTGGGTGAGGCGGTGCAGGAGGTAGGGGGTCCGAAGTGCCAGGTTCTGGGCAGCCAGTACCTATGGACCAGCAGTATGCTTTTGCTAGGCGCAGAACATCAAACCCGCTGAAATAGCTCTGCTCATGAAAACATAGCTATTGTGTTTGTCCATGCTTATGAACTGCACGTTTTATTCAGGATTCCCCAACTGTAAGGAACAATCCACTAGCATTCTACTATCTGAGAATAGCCTGCCACTCGGGCACACACACACACACACACACACACACACACACCCATCCCTTCACTACAAGATACACCTCCAAGATGACTTCGGAGCCCGGATAAAATTAGCTACATTGTTAACACTAGCATGCAAAGTTACTGGTAAGTAGTTAAGAAGAGAATAACCAGGCCCCTTTATTATTTAAGGAAATTAATTTTCCTAGGAAGAATCCATCTGCCAGCGATGATTTTCAGAGTGCTACCTGTGGGGATGGTGCACAACATCACTAGAAGAGGCGTGTTTAGCAATTCATGGACACGTTCTAGCTTATTAGTAGGGTACAGTCCAAAGTTAGACACAAAGTTGCTGTCCGCTAGGAATGACAGTCGAAAGCTCTAGGCAAAGGAGAAGCGGGCACCTGAGGGGTTGAACACCTCTCCCCTCCAGGGTCCCAGAGCACTTCAGATCTTGCTGGAAGAAGAGAGAGGCCGCCCCACACCAGACTAAACATCTGCAGGTGTAAAACCCCAGGCCTTTGCTCTGCGGAGCTGTCACCGAGAAACTTACAGCATTTGTTGTTCTAGGGGGAGAGTGACGGACATGAAATTGAAGCAACCATGTGCTGATCCCCAAGCTCCAGCTCAACTCTCAAGAGAAGGCCACGCTATCA